TTGGGACCAGTCTATTTCTTTGCTGAATGACATGATGGTAAATTATTAAGTTGCGTAATGTTCATATAAATACTCAATTTCTTCCAGAATGAATCATGTTAAGGTTTATTTTACTTGGCATTTATTGATGGTCATCTAAATTTCACATACCTATACAGATATTCTTCCCAGTCTGTCCTTATCAACTGGTTACTCTGTGGCATCAGTGGTTAGAGTAATGGTATGAGTTGGACTGTGAATGAATTGTCATATCCCCTTTATCATTTTTGATGTTTTTGGGGGGTTCTCTAATCAGTGTCATTGCAAATTAACCAATTTTATTCGTTTTTTTTTATCCAAGTTTTGACTATGTTGATAACTGTATTCGAAGTTTCTTACCTATTTGAACTCCTACTTTACTATATACAGCCTTTTTTATTAATATTTATGAAGGAATGCTGAGACCAACAGAAAGAGACTGCCATTGACAGGTGGTTTATTACTCACAGTTCCCACAAGGAGAAGGGGAGCACCCCACACCACACGGCCCAGGAAGCCCTTCAGGAGAGAACAGCAGAACAGAGTTTGGTCAAAGGTGGAGAGGATGAAGGGAAACTCAGGAAAGGCTGGCTTTCTATGGAATGATCCATCAAGGCAGAGAAAGCTGGCCAAGCAGATTTAGGGTTGACTCATTGGAATCATTTCAGCGGGCATCAAGGCTACCCCTAGTGTCTGATGTCAGCTCTGGGGTGATTAGGACAGGGAAATAATGTCTCTCCTTCTAAGAACCTGACAAAGAAGGCAGTTTGGAACATAGGTTCTGGATTCTCCTACATAGGAAAAGAAACTCATTTGTCACCTTCTTGTCAGAATAGTAGCTTAACTCTCCCATGCTAAAAGAATATTTATGTGTTTCATTTACACATGGAAAGTTTTTTTGCATTGGTTTGCTTTGCAATCTGAGTATCTCTTCTGATTGTAAATGAGATGCCCTTGTCCAAGTGTAGGCATTAATTTTCACTTTTTTGAGCTCTCCTTAAATCTCAGAGGTCCCTAGTCCTTAGAATCCCAAAAGGCTATAAATATTCTCCAGTCCAATTATAGGATATGAGTTGGCATATGAACATAGTGTGGGCTATTTTCGGCCTCTTATTTAAAACGTTAAGGTGTGGACATCTAAGAGTCCAAATGAACCCTTTGAGATGTGTCAGAACGTATTTTTCCAGTCATTTAATCTTTCAGGACAGATGTCACTGCTTTATTATTGGCTTTCTGCTGCCTCCTTCAACATCCACAAGTCCTAGGAGACTCAGTCATCGAACTCAAAGTCACATGTCAGCATCCTTGATTTTTTGGACATAAGTAGGTAAGTGTATATTCTTTTTCAGTTACGACCTCACAAAAGAAACATTTTTCATAAATATTTCAAATTTGAAAAAAAATTGCACACATAGTTTTTATTGCTATGAAAAACTATTTTGCACCAAGCTAAAATTTTATCTCCTCTTTTCTTGTAATGAAAGAAGCCTCTATTCTGAGTACCATATACACCTAGAGATACAGACAAATACCCCAAAACCACACCTTAATACATGGAATAGGAAAGCTGAAGAATAAGGAAAAGAAGTAAACAATGGGTGGAAACGTTCTCAAGTGTAGATTTCTCTTTTTAATGAAAGATGGGTTTTGAGAAAAATTGAAAATTTAGGAATGATAACTACTCTAGTAGAAAAGCAGAGAGCCCATTATAGATAAAAATCATGGTATGTGAGATAACTCCTCAACACAAGGAAAACTCAGCCATGCCATCATTTAAGTATTTAATTAGAGTCTATTATGTCCCCAAATGGTTGCACAGCTCATTAGAGTACATTGCATTTGTCCCTATAAAACAGTTTATAACAGATAACAGATGTCTGTAGAGATAAATTAATTATACACTAATACAAGGCAATATCCACACTATTCATCATATAGGCATAGTTTTAACATCTCTAAGTGTTATGAAAAGAAGAGCATCTCTGCAGGTTCTAGCAATCAGGGAAGGTTTACTGGAGACATACACATGAAGCGGATTTGAGTGTGGAAATCACAGATATGTGAAACAGCTTGAAAAAGGTATAAAAATAGTACTGTGACTGTGACCTGAAACAAAGGATATCTTGGATATCACCAAATTCTTGTTTGAGTCACCAAAAGTAAGGTGATGATTATGTTGAATGCTGTTTGATTCATAAAACTGTGGCTGCAATTAAACAATATCCTCTTGGTCTTCCTCACCTTTGAGTGCATTCACCAACCATACAATTGACTTACCTATTCTCCTACTCTTTTGACCTATGTTCTTATCTCCCTAATTTTAGTATGAAAGAATAAAGCTTCTCCATGTATTATAAGATTTGATGATAGCAAAGAAATGTGTCAAGCATATAAGCCAGAAGAGTCAGAAATGGTAAGATTAGTTTTATCTGAACAAACATTATGCAATTACATTTTTGTTCTTTAAAAAAGGTACAGGGCAGATAATGTTCTTTCAAGGTGAATAAACAGTGAAATATCAACCAGGTACAGTGGGAAACACCTGTAATCCCAGCTACTCAGGAGGCTGAGGTAGGAGTAGTTTGCATGTTCAAGGCCAGCCTGGGCAACTAAGTGAGACCCTGTCTCAAAGTAATAATAATAATAATAATGATGATGATGATGATGATGATGATGATGATGATGTGATGATGATGGTTGGAGATGTAGTTCAGTGGTAAAGCTCCTCTTGGATCAATACCCAGTAAGAAAAACAAAATACATATTTTGTTCCTGTACTTAAAAAGCCTATACTCTGTAAAAGAAGTCCAAAAATACAAGGACATGATTTCAATTTAACATGTTAAGTAAAACAATGAGGATGCTCTTAGGTTCCCATGCTCAGGTGAGAGGTCATAGTACACTTGCCTTACCTGAGAAATAAAGACAAAACACTTGTGGCATCTACCAGATTGTTTGGATCAAAACAAGGTAGCTTACATGAAGGCATTTTATTTTCTGCAAAGTCTGATATAAGGGAAAGAGTATTGTAGCAGGTGTGGGGAGCTTTCTGAGCAAATGAACTATGCCAGGCATGATTAAAGTGAGCACGCACAAGTGTGTCCTGTGGAGCAACTCTTTCCATTTTTTAGCTATGCATCAAATCATCACAAGGTACCCCATTAAACAGGTACAATGTATACATGCAACTTATGTACATGTACAATTTATGTATCAGTTAACATAAAATTAAAACTCAAAAAAATCAAATAACATAAAATAAAGTAACCAACAAGTTGGGAGATGTTGAGTGGAACCCATACTACACCTGGTTTCTCCTGAATCTCTTACACTAAAATTGTGAGAGCAACTATGCTTAGGACTCTGTGGGGAGGGAAGTCCTAGAGAGTAAGATAATAGGAGGTTTCTGAGATAATCTGTTTTTGTTTCCTGAACACTAACATTTTCTGGCTATTAATTGCCATAAATTCAAAGTGCATTCTATTTCCTTTTTTTTATATTATCCTAGCCTAGTATTTCCTGCTCTGCCCCCATCCCAAAGATCCTCAGTGCCTTTTGTTTCACAGGGAGGAATGCCCTAGCCCTGGGACCCATATGTTATGCCTGCTCTACTTCCCAACTCCATAAATACAGAGCACAACTGTAGTCAAATCTTGAAAGAAAAGTCGAAATCTGGAGAACCAAGAACTCCTTGGATGAGAAACAGAGAGAAACGTTGAAGAACCATTGATTTGACCAATTCTAAAAAGTCTACCTGTTCCAAAAATATCACATGCTAAGCCTGACAAGGTGGCACATGCCTTTAATCCTATGGACTCAGAAGACTGAGACAGAAGGATCACAAATTCTGACTCAAAATAAAAGTTTTTAAAAGGTATTAGTTCAGTGGTGCAGCACTTACCTAGCAAGTGTCTGGCCCTGGGTTTAATCCCCAGTGCCATACACACACACACACAAAAAAAAAAAAGAAAAAAAAATCACACTGAAGTCCATACATACATAAAATTATGATTTACCATTAAAAATAAAATAAACCTTATTTTAAAAAGTGTGAAAAATGATAATCTTTTAACCATACATATTTAAATTTCTTCACTCAACACAAAACAAAGAAGTGCAAAAAAATAGAAAACATGAATCAAATGCAGGACAACTTTGTTCTGATTCAGAGATCGAAGCTCTTCTAGCATTGAAACAGCAAAGATCAGATATTTTCTTCTCAAATATTTTGGTAATGGGTAAATGAGACAAAGGCAAAAATGGTTAAGAAATGGACTGTGATTACTATGTGTGAAGCACAGTTTCAAGCATTTTACTTAATTTAATTCTTCTTCTTTGTGAGAGTCTATTATTATTTATGTTTTACAAATGGCAAAAACCAATCACACTGAAGTTCATAGGTCTACAGTTGATCATGGCAAGGTTCCAACTCCAATCTTCTAGCTCCTGAGCTCAGGACTGGTGTCATGGTACTCTAGGGATAACTAAATGGGTTGTGATGGAAGGGAAAGAAATCATTGTGCTAGGAGGATGGACATGCAAGAACACTGGAGAACCCTACAGGACAAGAAAAATAATTTAATTTTTTAGTTTGCTTATTGAAGCTAATCTTCTTAACCTATTAATCCTAAGTTTTCAATTCTATATAGGAAGATGGGACATAATGGGTTAAACAGAGAAATGTATTCATTCATCGAATAGTTTTTAAAAAAACATATTAAATGGCTCCTTTTAACTTTTCGATATTTCTATAATACAGGATTAGTTCCCCTATTGTACAGAGTAACAGTTTCTTGTAAAAACAATCAAACAAAAAAATTACCTGAAAAAATCATCTTTTTATCTAGAGAGGTTGAGAGAAAAAGAGAGGAACCATCCAAGCCTGGCAATATTCTTAAAGTCAAAGCATTGGGAAATGTTTGTACTCTGATGACCTTTGTCATTGTCTCCCCTAAATCCACTCACAGGAACAAGTCATCCCGATGCGAGGTTTCAACTCAAGCACCGTGGTGACCCACTTTGTCCTGGTGGGCTTCTCCAGCCTTGGGGAGCTGCAGCTGCTGCTCTTTGTCCTCTTCCTGCTCCTGTACTTGACCATCCTGGTGGCCAATGTGACCATCATGGCCGTCATCCGCGTCAGCCGGACTCTACACTCTCCCATGTACGGTTTCCTCTTCATCCTTTCATTTTCTGAATCCTGCTACACTTTGGTCATCATCCCTCAGCTGCTGGCCCACCTGCTCTCAGCCACCAAGACCATCTCCTTTGTGGCCTGTGCCACCCAGCTCTTCTTCTTCCTTGGCTTTGCCTGTACCAATTGCTTTCTCATCGCCGTGATGGGATACGATCGCTACGTGGCAATCTGTCACCCCCTGAGGTACTTGCTCATCATGAACAGAAGGCTAGGGCTGGGGTTGGTTTCTCTCTCAGGAGTCACTGGCTTTTTTATTGCTTTGGTGGCCACGAACCTCATTTGTGACATGCCTTTTTGTGGTCCCAACAGGGTCAACCACTATTTCTGTGACATGGCACCCGTGATCAAATTAGCCTGCACTGACACCCAGGTCAAAGAGCTGGCGCTCTTCAGCCTCAGCATCCTGGTGATCATGGTGCCTTTCCTGTTAATTCTCATATCCTATGGGTTCATAGTTAACACCATCCTCAAAATTCCCTCTGCTGAGGGCAAGAGAAAGGCCTTTGCCACCTGTGTGTCCCACCTCACGGTGGTCTTTGTCCACTATGGCTGTGCTTCCATCATCTACCTCCGGCCCAAGTCCAAGTCAGCCTCAGACAAGGATCAGCTAGTGGCCGTGAGCTACACCGTGGTGACGCCCTTGCTTAATCCTCTTGTCTACAGTCTGAGGAACCAGGAGGTAAAGAGTGCCCTGAGAAGAGTTATGACAATGCCTAAGGCTACCAAGATGAGCTAAGGACAGGATTTTAAAAAATTAACTAGGAAAGTCACAGAAGAAATGAAAGTTTTAAAATCTTTCTCTGACTTTTTAGACACGAGTTGAACAGTTCTTCCCCTCCTAGAAGGAGGCAAGTCCACTTCCTACATGGTCCAATGCCCCGTTCAGAAGGGGAAAAGAAGGAAAGGAACTCACACTTGACAAAAAGAGAAAAGGTGAGAACCTTTTGAGGGAAAACCAAAAATGAAAATCAAGACCAAAAAGGTCTGACGTGGCTAAAAGCATTGCCAGGACATGGCCATTTATATAGCAAATTCACTCTGTACCAGGTCCTATGCAAAGAGGAAAAAAATCCCTGAATTCTTCTTTGAAATGTTTAATATTTATTTATTTATTTATCAGTACAGGGGGAGAGGTGGGGTTGATCCAGGCCACATACATGCTAAGGCAAAGGCTCTAGCACTGAGCCACACCCCAACCCCAAATAGGAAAAATCAAGGTAAATAAATTCACAGTTGTCAGGTGTGTTGGTACATGCCTGTAATACTAGTGGCTTGGGAGGCAGAGGCAGGAGAATTGTGAGTTCAAAGCCAGCCTCTGCAGCTCATCAAGGCCCTAAGCAACTCTGGGAGACTTTGTTTTAAATAAAACATAAAAAAAAAAGGGCTGGGGACATGGCTCAGTGGTTAAGCACCCCTGGGTTCAATCCTCATTACCAAAAAATAAATAAATAAATCCATAGTTTTTGGTGGTGGGAGAGCAGCAGGTAGGTTGAAAGATAGATAATAAAAAAATAAAAAAATTTTAATGCAAGATATTCCGATCTATTAAAAGGATATAAAAATGGTTTTAAGAATCAAAAAATGAAAATAAAATTAATCTTTATTCCTTCTGAAAGGTGAAAAGGTTTGGGATAACTGGGATGAGAAGAAGAGAAAATTTGAAGTGGAGTCTTAAAGGGAGAAAAATATTTGAATACTAACAAAGTGAGTTTTTCCAGTGGAAAAAAAAAAACATTAGTTAACATTGTAGATTTGTTGATTTTTAAACTTTACACTAGATTTTTATTATGCTGATTAGAAAGCAAACTTTACATTTTTGCTTATAGTTGTGCTTTATTTTTATGTAGTGGTATGTCTAAGTCTGCAAGACAATATAATTGTATTTAATAATGAACTAAAAACTCCATAATGACACCCTCATGCTTGATGCTCAAATGAGCACAGCAGTCTAAGGAGGCAGACAAGGCTACCATCTTTCCACTGACCTTAACTGTGATGGCAGTAATGTAACACTCATGTGAATCTAGCATTTTAAAAAATAATTTGAATATAAACATTGAACAGAATTAATTTTAAATCCTAACTCTACTCTTTTCAAGCTGTGTGATTTGAGACATGGTATTTAAAACTGTTAAAACTGATGAGTCTTGAACTTTGGGTTTTGTTTTGGTTTTCCTTTTCAGAGAATATGTAAAATATCCAGCTAATATAGAGCTTGTTTTTTTTTTTTTTTTCCTTTTTTTCCTGCCCAACAATCCAACTCATATTGGAATAAAACCCTGTGAATTGTTAAAATGATGTTGCATCACACAAATGAAAAACTATATTATGTTTGACTGTAACTGAAGCCAGAATTAGACAGGCAGTCAGGATAGATGGGTAAATCCAGTAAGGTCAGATCAGAAGGCCTATTTGAGTGAGTTAGGAAGCTGGAGACTGTCCCCTGAGGGACTGAAATGCCTTCAGAGCCCTTCCTCCACCCCATCTAGATAAACTGTGTCTGTTCCCACCTGTTGCTAAGGTAACCAGGAATTGCCCCTCCCTACAGCAAGCTTTAAAGTTGTCAGTTTGTCCTGGGCTGCTCCATCCTGCCCTTTGCCCTTCCATCTGCTTCTCACCTTTTGGCCATCGCACCCAGCACCTCTTGGGTCTAGTCAGGTACACAGGAAGGAGAGAGATGGGGGAAGAGAGCAGGAGAACAAAGGAATCCTAGGACATATAAAAAGGGCAGAACACCTGGTTTCTGGGGATACCAGGATACCAGCTATGGCCCCTTCCTCCCTCACGGGAGAAGTCTATGTTACCCCTTTTAAAATAAACCCTGCTTTATACGCTTGCCTCTACATGCTTCCCTAATGTTAAAACTTCAACATGTGGGGAAGCAGGATTCATCATTGATGACTAGCAGTATCATATTTTAACTGTGAAAACAACATATAAACAAGACAATATGTTACATAACATATTCAGCAGCATGTTCTATTCCCTCTGTAAAGTGCCTGATTCCCAGAGCATAATGAACACACATCAAATAGATTGCTTGATAATGTGCCTGCATATTTCACCTCTGACAAGCCATAGCATTTGTTTTCAAAACCCTTTAGAGAAATTGTATTTATTATTCTATTTATTCTACTTGTGAAATTTAATTTTTTTTTTAATATGCTGGCACAAAGATTATTTGTTACTTACTCACCTAAGGCAAGTGTTTGGGGAACATGAAATCAGACCAAAGAAATAAAATAATAAAAATCTAAAAGTGTGATTTATTTGAATTATTTTGCAATTGTCTTGAAGTTCTTGCTCGTCTTTAAATCAATTCCTGATGCTGCTAAATAAATAAATTACCAGAATTTAGGGAATGTATTGTGGGTGGACTTAAGTAGGACCACTCTGAAGAACTCCAGTCAAGTAGTCCAATATTCAAAGTAAAAGCCTTGTATGTATATAAAAGTATCAATCAATATGTGTTAACGTGTATTTCAGTGTTTTGAGTTGCAGCAAAACGTTTTCATCATACAAAAGTCATCTTTTTTTTGATTTTCAGCTCATTTTTTTAAATTAACCAAGAAATTAACCTGACTCTGTAAGATCAAATGAAAGGGTTTCTATTGTATGTTTTCAACCATTAATATATATATGATAAGAAAAGGATGTAATATACAAAACAAAGTTAAACATGCTAAAGTGATGATGTACCCAGAATTAGACAGTTAGTCGGTATAGATAGGTAAACTGAGTCAGGTTGGATCAAGGAGGGTGATTTTGAGTGAGTCTGTCAAGTTGGAGACTGTCCCCTGTGGGATTGAAATGTGAATTTCTTTCTTCAGAGCCCTTCCTCCACCTGCTCCAGCCTGTTGCTAAGGTAACCTGGCCCAGGAGTTGCCCCTCCCTGCAGGGAGCTACAAAGTTGTTAATTAACGTGTCCTTGGCTGCTCCATCCTGCCCTTCCCCCTTGAGCCCACCTGTTTCCCACCTTTTGGCCACCCCACCAAGCATTCCTGGGCCTAGCCACAGAAGCAGGGAAGAGAAAGATAAGGGGAAGAGGGCAGGAGAACCAAGGAAGCCTAGGACAAGTAAAAAGGGCAGAACACCCCACTTCTGAGATTACCAGGACACTAGCTATGGCCCCCTTCTCCCTCTCCAGAGAAGCCTATGTTACCCCTTTTAAAATAAACCCTGCTTTATATGCTTGCCTCCATATGGTGCTTCTCTACTGTTCAAACTTCAACATGTGGGGGAGCAGGACTCATCACTGATAACAGGCAGTATCAATGAATGTGCCGCTGATTAATTCTATCTTAAAAGTTATTTGAAGTCTTATAATTTTATAAATTGCCTTGTCACTCAAGGTGCATGTGCAGGGGCACCTCTTATTTTTTTTTTAAAGTTTTCACTCCATCCCTCTTGCCAGGTTAGCAAGAAATTGACTGTTTCCTTCTGAAGTTCTTTAATCCTGGAGTTTTTTCAGAAACCCTGGGGATTTACATATTCAAAAGGGATTCAGAGTGGCCTCCACACCAAAGCAAAAAGGGGCTGGTTACTCTGGGCTGCTGTTCCTTCCTGTCACTAGCAGGGCTGTCCCTAAGGGCCGGCAGGCAGTGCACTCCACCCACTCTCTCCAGCAACATTCCCAAGTGGCGTGGTTCTTTGAAGGTTGTTAACTTACTGCTTTCAGAAAAAAATGAGATTTCTTCTCACAGGCAGTCCCCAGATGGAAGCCCTGCCCCTCTTTAATTCCCATCCAGAGCCCTGTCCTGAACCACCAGCCATTTCAGGAATACTGAGAATTTTTTTCTGCTGTGCAGGTATCTCAGACCTCAAGTTACTTCCCTTTCCCCCATTCTTCAAAGGCAAAATACCCTTGCAACTCAAGGGCTTCCTCTAGGTATCTTTTGTAAGTGTGTCTACCTATAACAACTTCTTCCAATGATTTCAAGACGATTTTGAAGCCAGATTTAAAGATAGGTAGTTAGTGTAGTTAGGTAAATCAGGTCTAATATCTATCGAGTAAGATTGAAGTGGCACCCCCTTTCTCCACAGAACAGCCCTCTTCACCATGGCTGATTTTAGGACTGTCAGCAAAAGAGTCTCCGCAAAAGAGTCTGTTGTAGATAATCTTCCTATTTTCATGTCTCCCTGTTTACTTGGCCACTGGCCGAGAAGATACCAGCACTCCAGGTGCTGGACACCCCTTACTAGTTTTTCACAAACGTATCCAGTAGAGTACTTTGAAGAAATGTGCAAACAAGGCCTCTGGCCTTGAGCTGGGCTTCACAGAGATGTCTACATTTTTAAGATAAGTTACAAATGGGCTCCATAGTAACAGCTGGCAGGGGAGGAAAGAAAGGGGAGAAGAGGCTCTCCCCTTCTCAGGTGTTGTCCTTGAAGAGTTAACTTGCCCAGAACAGTGAGAGAAAAAGCTGCTTTTATGTGAACTTCTGAGCCCTCCCCCTACATGCTGGGTATAAAACTCTGAAACTCCCTGAACTCGGGGTTCAGGGGATTGATGGATTACAGCAAAAGCTGTGCCCTCAGAACCTGGCTGAAGCCAAATAAAACTGTTTCCTGCTATCTTGGGTGCCTTGCTTCGTTTGTCCCCACAACAAGATAAAGAAAATAGAGGCCATTATGGAGAATGGAGTCCAGGAAGCCAGAGCAGCACTTGGGGAAATTGAAATGCTAATGTCCCCAAGGCCCCAACCCATACTAAGGAAACAGCTCCCAGCAAACAGG